GTTAGTGTTTTCTCCACAACCTTTTAACACTACTATGAACAGAGGTGGATACATTTCTCTAATACACATAAGAGATTTCTCTAAGAATGGTGTAAAATTACTGTCATGTACCTCTTACTAAATCATAGTAACACACTGACTTCCTCTTTCCTCCCTTTTGTCCCTCCAACATCAACCTCACACCTTCAGCTAAATTTCTGATTCAAATTTATTGTCAATAACCATGAACCCACATTCTTTTTCTCTCTTATTAGCCACAGATGAGTGCTTTTTCTTCTTGCTAAAGTATGTATGTTTTGGCACTAATCTATTTTCCCTTTTTATTTTCTGCAAAAAAAGTCTTACTGTGTTATAATTTCTTTTTTTTACATATACATGTGTTTATTTGGTTTCCACTTTCTGCCTTCACAAAATTAAAAACACTTAAAATTTAATAACAATAACAATGTTTAAGATAAGGACTAGAAACAAAAACTTCATAAAGAATGAACAAAGATAAATACATTCAGAAAATAAATCAGATGATTGCTGCAACAAAATATTGAACAATAATAATAATGCAAAAATGTAACATTCACATCGTTAGATAAGAATATTGTCTATCACAGAATGCTTTCACTCTGAGGTTCAGTATGGGGTCATCAGCTAACCTCTTATTTTTCCCCAAAGTCTCAAAATATAGACAACCAGTATTTATAAATAAAAATAAAAGATAATTTAAAAAAACAGATCATGCCAAATCTTATAGACAACAGAAAAATAAGAATAGCTAAGGCTAAAAACAAACTAAGAGGCATCATCCTCTTGGCATCCTCATGCCAAATCTTATAGACAACAGAAAAATAAGAATAGCTAAGTAATAAAAACAAACCCAGAGACATCATCCTACCAGATTTCAGGTTATATTATAAATCCACAGTAATCAAAACAGCATGATACTGGCAAAAAAATAGAGACATAGACATATGGAACAGAGTAGAAAACCAAAAGATGAGACCAGTCTCTACTTGCCATCTGATCTTTGATAAACCAAATAAAAGCATACAGTGGGTAACAGAGTTCCCATTCAACAAATGGTGCTGCTCGAACTGGATAACCACATGTAAAACACTGAAACTAGACCTATACTTTTCACCATTTACAAAAATTGACTCAAGATGTATAAAAGGTTTAAATCTAAGACAAAAAATCATAAATATCTCAGAAGAAAGTGTGGGAAAACTATTGATGTTGTTGACTGGGGAAAGATTTTATGACAAAGACTTCAGTGGCCATCACAACAACAACAAAAATTAACAAGTGGGACTTAATTAAGCTGAAAAACTTCTACACAGCTAAGGACACAGTAAAGCAAAAAGACAACCTTCAGAACAGGAAAAGATATTTGCAGGGTATCAATCTGACAAAGGGTTGATAATTAGAATCTACAGAGACCTCAATTTAATCAACAAAAAATAAGCAAACAATCCCACCTATCACTGAGAGAGAGATATGAACAGAACTTTCTTTAATGAAAACAGATGAATGGCTAACAAACATTTGAAAAAATGCTCATTGGCTCGGTGCCTGTAGCACATTGTTTATGGTGTCAGTCACATACACCAAGGGTGGCAGGTCTGAACCCAGCCTGGGCCAGCTAAACAACAATGACAACTGCAACAAAAAATAGCCGGGGACTGTGGCAGGTGCCTGTAGTA